GCAGCACTGCACGCAGGTGCGCAGCCGGCGGCTCATGAAGGAGCTGCAGGACATCGCGCGCCTCAGCGACCGCTTCATCTCCGTGGAGCTGGTGGACGAGAGCCTCTTCGACTGGAACGTGAAGCTGCACCAGGTGGACAAGGACTCGGTGCTGTGGCAGGACATGAAGGAGACCAACACTGAGTTCATCCTGCTCAACCTCACCTTCCCCGACAACTTCCCCTTCTCGCCACCCTTCATGCGGGTGCTCAGCCCGCGCCTGGAGAACGGCTACGTGCTGGACGGCGGCGCCATCTGCATGGAGCTGCTCACGCCGCGCGGCTGGTCCAGCGCCTACACAGTGGAGGCCGTCATGCGCCAGTTCGCCGCCAGCCTGGTCAAGGGCCAGGTAAGGCCCGCGGAGAGGGGCGGGGGGCCTGGGGACATGGGGCGGCGTTGCGGCGATCCGACCCCTAGGGCCCGGTGCACCCCGCCCGGGATGGGAGACCAGGGATGGGGCCTCTGGCTACCTTGCTCCTGGCCCAGGGCTACTTGTGCCGGTCTGGCTTTCTGAATAAACCTCCCAGGGAGTTTTTCTGAATACATCTCCCCCAGGGAGGGATGCTCCTGAGCGCCTCTGCCTCTTTCCCCTGATAGATTCTTCCTTTCCCTGCGTCTCCATCCTGTCGCTTCTGTCCCCTGCCTGGCCCTGTTAGTGTCTCTGGTCTCTCTAGCTTGCCCTTTCATTCTCATTCTCATTCATTTTCTCTCTCTCTCTCTCTCTCTCTCTCTCTCTCTCTCTCTCTCTCTCCCCCTCTCTCCCTCTCTCCCTCCCTCCCTCTCTCCCACGTCCTCTCCCCTTTCTCTTCTATTCCTTCTTGCCCTTAACCTCTCCTGTTCTCCCCCATCTGCATACTGCCCTCCCTTCCCCTTCTCCACCCTCTAGAGTCGCCCCCGTTCTCCTTGCCCTCCCCCATTTCTCTCCCTCTCCATCCTGTCTACTCAACCCATCTTATGCCCCTGTAATCTATGAAGGTGGGAACTTCTTGTGTAGCGCGACCTAGGCATCTGTCCCAGCATATTGCCTCCTCCCTGCCCCCCCCCCCAACACAGAGGTTTCCTCCTCTGGCCTTTCTGAGAGCCAGCTGCCTGCAAGTGACCCCTCTCCACCGCTCTCTCCTTCTTAGCATCCCCTGTAAAGATGTATTCTTGAGAAATCTCTCTAGAGAGTAGAGAGGCAGAAGTGTGGTTTGAGCCCTTCCTTAAGTGACACGGCCAGACCCCATCAAGGCAATGTCTGCAGTCCCTAGCCAGGCTCCCTTCCTGGCTGGTACCTGCTCCTTTCCAGAACCTCTGGGGTAGCCCTCCAAGTCTCGGTCTCTTTTAAACCGTTTTTTCCTTGTCCCCAGGGTGGAGGTTGGGTGTTGACAAGGCTAAAGAATTTAACTAAACTCAGAGAGGAAGGCTAAGCAGGTCACCTGAGTCTTCTCCCCTATTGCACCAGGGGACTGCTTTGTGGGAAAGAAGCCCCAGAGTGCAAGAAAGCAGAGAATGGATTTTCTGATGTGGTCCTGCCTGGCTGCAGGCAGGGGCCCTCTGGTTTTATCTTCCCAACTATATGTTCTTGAACGTGTTCAAATTCTGAGGTGTCCTCCTGAAATGATATTAAACATTATTGGATAAAATAATATTTCCCTAGGTGTCTTTTGTATTTATGGAGAATCCTTGTTTTCTTAAAAAAGACCCTGAATGACCTCCTGTGGTCTTTATACAGTCTCCTTATCAGAGGGATCAGTTCTTTCCATTGCTGCCTGGACCCCTTCACTGCAGGGGGTTTCACACTAATCAAAAGATGCTTGTTCTGCCAATTTCACTAGAGGTGGAACCCCTGGGATTCCAAACAAATAGGATCCTAACTCCAGCAGAGAAGGTCACTTAATTCTTATCTTTTCTAGGGCCCAGGTTTTACCTATTTCTTGAATTAGGGATAGGATGGCTATAACAGCTCTAGAAAGACAGCTTTAACTGAGCAAGGCTTGATTCTTTAATGTCAAAGCATCTTCCTCATCATATAGTGGAATGTTGGGTCCACTGCAAGGTGCATGTGATTGAAAACAAGCCATTGGATCTCAGTTTATTTAGCAAGCACGATTTATATACAAGTGTAGAAAAATATTCTACATAAATGCCTTGTTGTTCATTTCACTGTACATAATCAGAATTCTTTGGACCTGTCTGTTATTGTCTTTCATTCTTTATAGGAAATATGTCTTTGAAGTCAGAGGCAGAGAATTGTAATTTTGCCCTATAGAATCACAGAGTCGAATCCTAACATTTTAGACTTGGGGGGATCTTAGACTGCAGCCTTCATTCTAGAACAGGGAAAAAAAGATTTAAACAAAAAATAAAGCAGTTGTTTTTAAAAAGAGAAATATCTTAGTAGATTAAATGTTTTTTTTTTCTATTTCTACATTGATGCTATGAATATAAATTGTCTTATTGGCAACCTTAAGCTTCTCTTAAAATAGACGAGTCTTGGTGTGTACATTCACTTTCTTTGTAATCAAAATTGAGAGCCAAGCATTCAGTTTGCAAATCAGAGGCTTCAGTATTGAAAACAATTATCAACATTTTTATGTATTTGATAAAATCTTGACTGGACTCAGCTTCTCCCACCTAGCATATGTAGTACATTTAAATATTGACATTTGGAATGATGTTTAAAGCTCAGCATTTTTTAAAATATCAGTGCAATTTCTTTGCATTTTCCATGCTGGTTTCAACCAACATACAGTTCTCCAAAAGAGAGTAAGGCGTGGTACTCATGAAATTGCCAAAATGCAAAGAAAGGATTGAAGAACTTGGACCATCATTTATGTTTTAGGGTTTCATGCACAGAAGGACATGATAGTGTCTCAGGTAACCTCAGTGTCAGGTGCCTTTGAGTCCCTGTGCAAATTCACTATTTGTAGGTTGTTCACTGTGCATAAAGCAATTGCCAAATTATTTCCATAGTTAAAGGTAATGTGCTTTGGGAAAGCAATCAAAATACCTGCTCAGGTGTTGAAAGCACTGGGATGCTATCAAACCAATAATTACTTTAAAAGAACGAGTTGTAATATGGAAGTTATGTTCCTTTGTTAGTTGGGATTTCTTTTTTAGGACCCATTCTCTTAAGCTGCAAAGTTAGAAAAGGCATGTTTTCCTCTTTCCTATAGGAAAACACTTACCTTATCTCAACTCTGAATTAAATACACCCTGCTTTTATATCTTTAGAGAAACCTCAAAACAATTTTAAGATTTCATGTGTAATACTGCAAAAATATCTGCTTAGCAGCTTTGTATACAAAAGTTTAGATTTATCACATAATATGAGAAATTCAGTCATTTCATGAAGATTTTTACCTGACTGAATCTTTGCCCCACATGATCAACATCTCTTTCCTGTTGTGGTATGAATTTTGGCTGTTTTAAATTAAAGGATCGTATAGATTTCTTATGATAATTTCTCTGTAGAAGTAGTGACGCAATCCCCTCATCTGTGACTAAACCTTCTTTACTAAACAGAGGCGTTTTATTCTGTTTAGTTGAAATGAATAATCCCTGGGCCTTTAAAATGAGCTGGGAAAATGTTACAAGTATCCTCTTGGACCATCATTTGTATCTTTTATCATTTACTGAGACAAAAGATTATAATTCATAGTTTTCATGTGGGATTTTTGACATTGAAAAGTGTAAGATTTATGTCTTAAAGCTAAAGGAAACTCAGCAGACAGTGGACCCTACAGAAGTTCCAAGTCCCAAAGTACCAAGAGCGAACTGTGAACCTGGACAAGCGAGCACAGCCTGGTGGGGTCCTGGCTTCTTCTCCGGGGGTGGGACACAGATGGCAGCATGAGTGGCCGGCCACCCTGCCCTTGCAGCTGTGTGAGCAGCAAGGACCAAAAAAAGCCACTTGATTGTACACTGACTCACTGTTGTGCTTTCTCACCTGCACACCTCCTGAGTGTCCCCCTTTTAATTAATTAGACATTGCTAGCGGCAGGGAACCAGATGGCAGCTGAGTGACACTTCCTCACTCCTCCTGGTCCCTCAGAACTAACCCTTCCAGCCAGGACACAGTGCTGATTACAATGGTGTCAGCACGCAGATAGCATTTCCCACTGGCTTGTGCCAAGCTCGGGGCCAGCTGAGCGTGCAGCGTGCTCAGCCTCCCTGGGTGCCCTTCTGTGGATGGTCATTGTACAGAAAGGAAATTGCAGCGCCACAGAGTCAGGCTGACTTCCTAGGGCTTGAAGTTCCTGTGCCCGGCCAGCCTCTGAAGCCCTCCAGCAGGAGCAAAAGCTACCCAGAGGGCACAGTCACGCCCAGGCTCCCAGGCACCTTGCTGTTTCCAGGCAGTCTTTTGTTCATTGTGACCTGAATGACAATCACTGTATCCACAGAGAAGAGACACAGGCCAGCCATCAGCAGAAGATGCACAGAATGACCGGAGTAAAACATCCCGGCGTCTTAGAGTTTGAATTAAAAATCAGTGAGGATTGCAGGGCAGTCATGTTGACTTAACAGCACTGGTTCCTGGAGTTCTATTAATAAAGAAAAGTGACAGATAACACCATCTGTCTGTGTGTGATGATGAGCAAAGGGCCGACAGCTCAGCCTTGTTCAGGGATGTTGTGCGCACCAAGGTCGGCTTTAGCACTTTCAGTCTACACCGCAGTGTCACAGAGAACCGTGCACGTGAGCACGCACACACAGACACAAGGAAAGCCCCTTACCAGAAGGCCCTCCACGTTCAAGACCTGGAAGCAGCACTTGACCCGGGACTATGAAATCACCACATCTTCTGGTCAAGAGCAGAAGACAATCAGCCCTCTGAGCTCCTGAAATTTGTAGGCTTCTAACCTGCTACAACTGACACAGAAGTTCTAAAGGCACTGTGTTAGTTGGCTGGAGCTGCTGTACTAAAGGACTAGAGACTGAGTGGCTTAAGTGACAGACATTCCTTCTCTCACAGCTCTGGAGGCTGGAAATCCAAGATCCAGGTGTGAGCGGGGTGGCTTCCCTGCCTGCTCACCTGATTGTCTTTGTCCTCATCTCCTCTTCTTAGCAGGACCCCAGTCCTGTGAGGTTAGGACCACCCTCATGACCTTGATTTAAGTTGATTTAAAGACCCCCATCTTCAAGTAAAGTCCCACTGTGGCTCCTGAGGACTGAGCACCGAGCATATGAGTTGGGAGGAAGGAATCAACAGCACCAGCAGAGCATTAGCCAAGACCACATCCTGTTCCTCTAGAGTTGTTGCCGGTTTGAAAACCAAGTCCTCAGTGAAGCCTCACGCGGGTGGGGAGGCACAGGAGGCTCAGCTCACCTGCAGGTGGGAGCAGAGAAACTCAGGTGTTTAGAGGG